ACTGATTTTTTTTAGAGAGGAAGGAAGAGAGAGATCGTTATTCCACTTATTTATGCACTCATTGGTTGATTCTTGCATGTGCTCTGATCAAGGACAGAACCTACAGCCTTGGTGTATTGGGACAATGCTCTAACCAACTGAGCTACCTGGCCAAGTCAAAAGTATTTTGGACTGAAATGAAAACACAATGTACGGGGTAGAGTACTTGAAGATGTGTAGCTTGAAGTCCTTATATCAGAAATGAAGAAAGAACTAACATCAGTGAATTTAAGCTTCTACTTAATTTACTTCAGCAAATTAAGTCCAAAATAAGTAGAAGACAGAATAAAAATGAGAGTGGAAATAAATGAAATAGAAAAATGGACAATGGAGAAAAATCAAACAAAAACAGGCTCTTTGAAAAGATCAATTAATGTTCCAGCCTGTTCAAGGAAAAAAGAGAGAAGATACAAATTATCAGTATCAGGAATCAAGGAGCAGACATTGGTACAGATTCTAAAAATATTAAAAGGGGAATACATATGAACAATTTTATACTGCAAAACTCTAAAACATAGGTGACATGAACATAAGCCTCGGAAGACAAAAACTGACAAAACTGCCTCAAGAAGAAACACAGTCTGAACAGCCCTCTATCTGTTAATGCAACCAAATCCATAACTCAAAACTTCCTGCAAAGAAAAACCCAAGTCACATAGGTTTGCTAGCACATTCTATCCAACAATTAAGGAAGACATAATACCAACCTTATACAAACTCTGTTCAGGAAATACAAGAGGAAGAAATATGTCCCAACTCATTTGATGTGGCCATTATTACCCTTGACACTAAAGCCAGACAAAAACATTACATCAAAAGAAAACTGCAGACCAATAGCCCTCTTGAACAGAGACACGAAATCCTCAACAAAATATTAGCACACTGAATGCATCAGTGTATGGAGAGGGTGGTACCACAGAACCCTGGGTTGGTCTGACACTTGAAAATCAATCAATATAGTTCACAATATTCACAGAATAAAGGAGAATAACCATATGATTATTTCAAGAGATCTAGAAAAGACCTTTGGCAAAATTCCACACCCATTCGTAGCAGCTTTGTTCATAACAAACAGCCAAAAACTGGTACCAACTCAGATGTCCAACAACAGAAGGACGGACGGACAAATAGCGGCCGTCCATTCTGCGGAACGTGGCGAAGCAAAGGTTACACCGAGCTACTGAGACACACGACGAGGACGAGCTTCCGAAAGGGACGAGCGGAAGAAGCCGGACCCGAAAGCGTGCCCCCGTGTGCGCCTGCGCACGCGCTCCCAGGCCCGCAGACCCGCCCCGCTTGGATGGAGGCCTGCGAGGGGCAACGGGAGGCCCCAGAAAGTAGATTCGCAGTTGCCTGGGGCTGGGGTTTGGCTGGGGTGAGGCCCCAGGGGATTCTGGGGGGTGAGGGGAAGGTTTTACATTTTGACTGAGGTAATGGTTACATGTGTATGTACATTTGTCCAAACTCATCCAACTCTACGCTTCAAATTGGTGCATTTTATGTTCCCTAACTTATACCTCGATGCAGATGATCGTGTTTAAAAGGTGGTTGAAAGCCATCACCTTTCACAATTTCTCGGTTTGGTCGTGGACTGGTGGCATTGCTTTCCCTCCTGGACCTGGACGACTGGCTGCCTCGGGCCTCGGGATCTGGGCTGCTTTCCGATCCAGGGCCTCCATGTGGTGTTTTCTGCTGTGCTCTTTAATATATATATATATTATTTCTTTATTTTTTAGAGAGGAGGGAAGGGAGGGAGGAAGGGAGGGGGAGAAATATCAATTGGTTGCCTCTTGCATATCCCCAGCCTGGGATCTGGCCCGCAACCCAGCCCTGTGCCCTGACCCCCCTGAACTTTTGGTTTGCTGGACAACGGCCAACCCACGGAGCCGCACCGGCCAAGGCTCTGCTGTGTTCTTGATCTGGAATGCAGACTTGCCAGCCATCTAGCTGACACAGCAGGTGCTTGTAGGATGCTGGGCCAGGTGGTCCAGATGAATAGGCAACAAAGACAGCACTTCTGCCCTCAAAGAGCTCATCCTCATATTGATGCGGACAGGAGATAAGTCCGTTGTCATCCTATCTAATGAGACACTACAGGAGTGAGGCAGCATTGCACACATTCCCTGCTATGGAAGGAGAGGGGTCACTCTGACCTGCTGGAGGCAGTGGCACTTGAGGTTGTGGGGAGCTTTGGAGTAGGAGCAGGTGGAGGTGAGCATTAGGTGGACCAGATGTCCTGGGTTTGCAGGAGCACCGCGTCCAAGGTGGGGAGTTAGAAACGGTGAGGCTGGATAGTTTACGGCTAAACACGAGCTGGGATGTTGGTCTGTATGAAAGCTTTTCCGATGATCTGGGTTAGGGATGTGACCGGGGCAGGTCGTTGGCACCGACACGTGGCATCAGTATTGATGGAGTGGAGCCGGGTGGGAGTAGGGTGGGATGTAGCCCCTTGGCAGTAGTATAGGTAGAAAGTGACACGGCCCTGAACCAGGTGCTTCCTGGGCCCATCTGGGAACTTACTGGACCCTCTCAAATCCTTTGGGACTAGGTGAAGAAAGAGCAGTCACTCGCCCACCTCCATGTCTTCCCCTCTCCCTTTTAACGCGTCCCAGCCACACTGCTTGTTGCAGACCGAATCATGTACCCTCCCAAAATCCACATATTGACACCCCAACCCTGGTAGGGCCTATAAGGAGGTAATAACGGTTAAGGGAGGTCATAAAGGTGGAGTCTCAATTTGACAGGACTGGCGTCCTCATTAAAAAAGGAAGAGACACCAGAGCTCTCTCCTCGTGAGCGTGGAGGGAAGGCCACGCTGGGAGGCAGCCGTCTGCAGGCCCAGAAGGGAGGCCTCATGGGAAACCGGGTCTGCCAGCACCATCAGCGTGGACTTCGGCCTCCAGAACTGCAAGAGTGTAAGTGCCTGTTATTTAAGCCGCCCAGTGTGTGGTAGTTTGTCATGGCAGCCTGAGCAGACGCATACACTGCTCACCCCAGGTCCCTTGCCAATCTCATGAATATAGTGTCAGGGGTTCCCGGCGCCTCATAGTATGGTGACACCCTTGGTGATCTCGCCCCCCGCCTTTGGCACCCTGCCCTTGCCGCTTGGATGGGAGTCGCACCCCAGGGCCCTTCCAGTCCCAGAGTACACTGTTCCTGCCGTCTCCACAGCCCTTCTCTGTGTGCAAATATTTTCGGCCCTTTTGGACTGCCAACCCTTCTGGTAGCCACCTTGTGATATCAGCAGGAAAGAGTTGGTGCCCCCATTTTACAGATGAAGGAACTGAAAATTAGAGAGTTTTAGAGGCCTGTCTAAAATAACCAAGCTAACACGTACAAAGTCAGTTCCTAAGCCTGTGTCTTCCGTCTGTCCCATCAACACGCGGCTTCCTGGCCAGACAGTCCTCCACGCTCACGTCTGCATGGAGCTTTCTGGCCAAACCCATCTCAGAGAGGAGCGGTGGGCGGTCTTCGTGTTCCACCCTTCCTCGGGCGCTACCCCTCCCCTTGTCGCTTGAGCGCACACACACACTCATTTATTTTCGTTCTGTTCTCCGTGGTGTAGCTTTGCCTTAAAGGCATAGCAACAATGAGCTCCTCCTTCCCCACAGAGCTTGGGAATTACAGAGGTAGAGTGTGGGGAGAGGACTAGAGAAGGGTTGGGGAGGGGGTTGGTGGGGTAACCAAAAGAGGAGCCCCAGGAGGCATGGCGGGAACATTGCAGCCTCTGGACAGCTGGACCCTGCCCCGGCCAAGGCACCTGGAGGACCTCACGCAGGCCCACAGCCGGTTTGCTCAACACCTTAGCACGTGGTATGCACATGGCCGTAAACCGAAGCTCCTTTTGGAAGTTGGCCCTTCCTCAAGCTTGTTGGTCTGTGTTGAGCTAAAAAAGGGAATCTGTTTGGAATCAGAATTCCTGGGAAAATGTCAGCTCTCACACCCATTGTCTCTGCAGCTGGCACGTAGACGCGAGGAGCATGCACACAGTTTGCAGTGAGCCCTGTGCGGGGACGGGCTGTTCGTGGGGGGCCTGCTGTTCCTCAGCTGCTGGGTGTACGAGAATGGGCGTGTGTAGGGAGGAAGACCCTCATTAAGTGCACCACCCACGCCCCACCAGCCAAATCGAGACTTTTTGCCGATTTGTGGGCCCATGAGCCCATGTGTGTGTTCTCATCTAACCCTCCCTCAAGGACAGGGCTTACGCCCCTCCTCAGATGGCAGGGCTCCCCTCTCTCCTCTGCACAGAGGTCCCTGGAGGCCACTTGCCTCTTCCTAGAGTCACCTTCTTGCTGGAAAGCAGGAGAGCACTGTCCTGCCCAGGACCTGGGCCCCTCCCTGCTTCATCGTCTGTTTTTAGAGTGTTGCTCTGAAAATCATCTGGCTGCACCTCTTGCACGTTCTCTCAGCCACCGAGAGGGAGAGCCAGGTCCGAGAGCTGCCTGTGTTGGAGGCCTGTTCCGTGCTCTGGGCCAAGCAGCCAGGCTCCGGCACTCAGGGACATGGAGGGGCTGCCACACCGTCTGTGAGGGCCCGGAGGCGCAGGCCATGCTGAGCACACCTGAGATGCGGGGGTGCCGAGGGGCTGCTGCTGGAACCCCATTTTGCTGCCTGACAAGTGGGCTCTGGTAGCCCTGCTTCTCCTGCCCCCTCCAGCTGTGCAGGCAGGTCCTCTGGGATCAAGGGGACCGTCCCCGAGCCTCGCAGGCCATGCACCCCTCCGCGTGCAGGAGCCCTGGATGGCCACCTGTTGTTAATCGAGCCCTGGTAATCCACCCTGTACTGTGTCAGCGGTTCAAAAGGGCACTGTTAGTATTTTTTGCCGACTTCAATTAACGTGAGATTTCAGAGGCCCCTCTGATCACATTTCATCTGTCACAAGTCAGGAACAAAACAGACAGGTTCCAGTTGCGAGGAGGAAGGAGAAGGAGTTTATTGCAAACAACCACCAAACAGACAGTTCGGGCTGTGCCCGGTCAAGGGTGGGCGGGGGCGTCCGGCTGCTTCTGCTCTCCGTCTGGCCCCGCGCCTGGGCCCCTCCTCCTCAGTGTCCCCCTCCCTCCCCGATAAGATGTAAGTGCAATAACTTACTTCAAAGGCAAGAACGTTTCTATTAATATTTTGCTGTAATGTAGTTACATGGTGGTACAGGCAGTAAAACTTTATGGAACCGACCTCATTTTTTTAATACATTTTTTTCTGAAATTTTCATGTATTTTTAATATATATTTTTAATATCCACCCCAGGCCATTAAGCTAAAAGAAAAGTTGCATTTACACAAGGTTAAAATATCTTACAAGGAGAACAGTCAGTACTGGTTGAGGTTCATGACATTCTAGCACGCAGCTGGCGTTCCGACCGCGGCACGCCCGGACCGTGAGACACTGGACACTGCCCTTCAAAATCAGTAGTATAAAGGCCTAGCTCTGTGTACGTGAGTGAAGGGGGCAGGGGCGGGCGTGTTCACCGGACCACCTTCCCACCTGACAGCATCCTTCCGGAAGCGCAGTGGGTTGGTGCGACCTTGAGAAGCGGGGTTGGTGTGGTCTCCTCACTGTTCTCGTTGAGGGTCATGTATTATCATCCTGGGGGCCAGTCTGCCAGCCATCCTCCCCTCCACGAGGCCTGGTGGCCTCTGCCTCTGACCGTCGGGCCTGTCAAACTAACTGGAAGCCCCAGAGTGTCTCTCAGCACCGTCTCCCCACGACCCAGCCACGAGAGAATGGTTGCGTAAGCAGGACACGCGGTCGCTTTCATGGGAAAGTCCCTCTTGCCCACCCAACAGAAACGAGGGTGGGAAGGGCACCAGAGCTGGGCCCAGCGTGGCCACAGCAGTGCGTGCTGGGGCCCACCTCACAGTTGCCGTCCCCCCACCTCTTGCTGCGTCTTTGAACTAGCCCGGCCACCGTGCTTCCTGAAGCCGGGGCCTGGCAGTGAGAGCTGAGAATCAAGTATAGGGGAGAGAACTCCGGGGAACTTACAGAGCCCATGTCCTGCTAGTGCCACCGAGGACCTGGGGGCAGGCCTCCCCATGTGCCCGCCCCCGGAGCCCGCTCCTGTGCCCGGGGGCGATGACAGCAGCTGAGCCTGGTAGCAGCATGGGTCAGGCCTTGGCCGCAGACACACGCCCAGGGGGCAGGAGAGGCTCTCGGTGCAGGGGAGGCTGCGCATCCGTCCACCTGCTACCTGGCAGCTCAGGTTGGCATCGCCATCTCTGTTGAGATCTTAGGCGAGTAGCCAAAGGAGACCTTCACCTCTTCCAGCGTATTTGCTGGTGGGGACCCGCCGAGCGGGTGGAGTCTCCTGTCTGTCTGCCATCCCGAGGAAGCCACCCGGCCCAGCAAAGCCCCCAGAGCTTGCTCAGTCATCACAGGGGCTGTTTCAGGCGCCCCCCGACCCTGGCACACAGAAGGCCTGGGCCTAGCGGCCCGATGGGACTGACCCAGAGAGAAGCCTGAGGAGCGGGGCGCTCAGGCGGAGGGCTGAGCTGCTGGGCGAGGTGTGAGGCCTGGGGTGCTCCGAGCACCAGCTGCCCACAAAGGCCCCGAGGCCGTCAGGGCCAGGGCAGCGGTCAGGGCCGCTCCGTCAGCCTCCGGTGAGATGGGGCCGGGGGCCACTTCTCCACTGGGGGGCAGGGTCTTCTCACCTCCATTGTGCAGGGTTTGGACTAACCAGAGTAACCCTCTATTCCCCCAGGGCAGGGCGGGACAGGCCTGGGCCTGGGACACCACCTGTGAGGAGACGAACGGGGACCTTTGCATCATTAATACTCGGCCCTGGCGAGACAGGCAGCCCAGGCCACAGTGCCTCCTTCTACCACAGGCTTTTTCTTCTCAGGCGCTTTGGTTCAAATTTGCCTGATTTATGAGTCTGGTCCAGTCAGAGAGCAGACACAGAGAACTGAGTGCCAGGGGTCCCTTCCAGAAGAATCTACTTCAAGTCCTTTTCCTACCACCCCCTCCCCCGCCCCATTCCCGGGGCTTCTTCTGTATCCTGAGTCTCTCCTGGGCAGCCACACTCCTTTGGTGAAAGTGCCTGGGTCCTTCTAGCCACTAGAGCATTTAAGGAGGGGACGGGGACGGTTCCCAGCTGTCAGCAACTTCCTCCTTTCCCCGGCTAGGTTCTGGGGAGCCTGAGCTACCTCAGTGAACCTCAGGACTGGAGAAGGCTCCTGAGAGGCACTCCGAGGTCCTCCGAGGAATGAAATCCTGGAAGCCAAGCCTTCGAGAACATCTAATTTAATGTCCGAGACCCCTGCCACTTCTCGCAGATGGGTTTTAGAGTGCAGGTTCACAAAGGGGCCCAGCTCTGGTCACGGGAGGCCTAAGCCAGACCCGGCCCCGCCCTGCTCCTGGGGCCAATGGGAACATGAGGCAGGGGGAGACTGCAGTTTCCTCCAAGCCCCAAGCAGCTCAGGGGAGAGGACCCCACACCTGTCCGTCCGTCGGACCCAAGAGGCTGTCCTGCGTCCAGGGCCCCCGGCCTGAGAGACCTGGCCCTGCTCACTGACAAGGTCAAGGGGGGTAAAAAAGGCAGGAGCCCCGCCCTGGGGCCACCTGCCATGGCCCTCCCAGGGCCTGGCTCAGACCACAGGCACCGGACACCAGGAGCTTTGGTGACGGCTGGGAACGAACAAGCTGTAGGTCTCTCAAGTCAAGCAGACACGGAATCCCCCCCCCACTTCCACCCAGAAGGAGGCCCCTTCCTACAGGCAGGAACCCTGCTTCCAGAGGGTACCCTGTTCCCTACAACTAGGGCAGAGCCAGTGACTCAGGGAAGCTCAGCCCCGTGGGCCCTTCCAGAGGCCAGAGGGTGGGGCTGAGACTTCCGACCCCCTGGGGAAGAAGAGTTGGGGTGGGCTCTGCCTGCCCTGTGCCTGAAAGACCACGGGGGCCCCACCCACGGTGGAAGGCTCTGGAAGGTACGGCAGTGTGTCAGAGATGGCTGGTGAGGAAAGGCGGTCTGAGGCAGCTCAAGGGCCGCCCTACCAGACCGGGGGCCGAGCGTGGGCACACGGCCTCTAGCAAATCTCGCACCCTGCTCTCCGCCCTCTGCCGCCGTCCCTCCAGGCCCCCGCTGTGTGTCCCCGGTGCCTTTCCACGCCAGGACACTGCTCAGCAGACCCGGGGAGTGGCCAGGATGGGGCGGGGGAGGGAGAGACATCCTCCTGGAGGGGCCTGCCTGGAAGAACAGAGCTGCCCCGACCTGCCTGCTGCTGCTGTCATCCTGCCCGCACCGGGGAGTCCGGTGGTCGGAGAGCGGAAGTGTGCGCACGATCCCCTGCCCCTGCCTGGACACCTCCCTGTAGCCCTGGAAATGCTTCTTCCTCCAGCACCACGGGCGCCCAGGTGGCCTGCATCCAGATCCAGAGTTTCCGGGGTGCGAGGGCGTGGGAACACATCCCCCTTGCCCCTGGATGTCAGCATCACTGGGTGACAGCCGGGCTCTTGGGCTCCAGCTCCCCGCTCCTCTGCCTACGCCCTCTGGGTGTGTCCAGCACAGGGGACAGCCAGGACAGGTCTCCACCCTCCTGGGTGAAGGGAGACGGGTGCCTTGGGTCCAGGAGGTCAGATTCCGAGGGGAGGGCAGGAGGCTTTTCTTCAGACACAGTCTTGGGCCTGGTGACTGGGGACCACACAGAAGTAGGAAGGACAGATGCAATAGCGCTGTAGCTGCTGCTGGGTCTCGAGAGGAATCTAAACTCGACTCAGTGGTCAAACCAGGCAGGCTGAGAGAGCAGGAGTGGGGAGAAAGGGTCTTCAGCTTATAAAGGATGCAAAGCTGCAAAACTCGGCCACCGGCCTCCTCCGCTGCCCCTGGCCAGGAGCAGGGGTCTCAGCCTCGGGGCCCAGGAAGGGCAGGGGCCAGCTGTCCCCTCCCTCCCAGCCGTCCACAGGGCCTCAGACTGGGGGTGGCTGAAAGTGCTGAGGGTCAGGCCCCTGGCCCAGGCCAGGTTCCTAAGAGGAAAGTCGAGTGGGAGGCTGGGAGCCTGGGAAACGCGGGCCTGGCCAGAGCCCCAAGGCCTGGGAGGGTGCGGCGGGGATGGGACGGGAGGGCCCTGTCATGTGGCCCAGGAGATGGCCGCGCTGTGCTCCTTGGCCTTCATGCGGAGGGCTGCGATGCTCGAGGTCTTGCGGTCCGGTTCGCCGCTGAGCTCGTAGCCGTTGAGGCCTGGGCTCAGGCCCGCGGCCCCGAACAGACCGCCCATGTGCGTCTGGCCCACGTGGCTGCCAGCGCCAGGGACACTCAGGAAGTCGGTGACACCGCTGGCCCCGGAGCCAGGGGGATGGGCATGCGGGGACATGCAGGCTGGCACTGGGTCGCAGGGGACCACGCAGGCCGGCACCGGTGAGGCAGCCCCGTTGTTGCCGATCCAGGACGGGTTCTGAATCTGGGGAGAAGGCAGGAGAGACGTCACAGGCTGGCTGGGGTGAGGCTAGGTGGGCGGGGGTACATGGGGGCTTCCCCCTAACCCCCTGAGTCGCCTCTCCCCACTAGGAGCCCGGCATTAGGATGGAATGGATCCTGGGTGTTTAGTTGGGAGCCTCTCCAGACCTTAAGGTCATCCGGGTGCCCCCCAGGAGGGCCTGGGTTTTATGCTTCGGCTCCGGTGTCCGCAGGGCCAGGCTGGCAGCAGACAGAAATTCCATTTTAAGGACCAAACTGCAAACCTCATCAGTGGTCCAGTGCGGCATCCCCTGGGTCACAGCTAACCCGCTGAGGGTGGCCCCTGCCTCCGCTGGCCAGCTCCCCATGTCGGGCACAGATGCTGACTCTGCCTCTCTGTCTGCGGCCTCCTTAAGCTCAGTGACCACATCTTACCTGCGGCTGCTCCCCAGGCCCAGGACCTCCTAGGTGCCTGGTAAGTGGGGAGCTTCGTCGGGTACGTGGACTCCGGGCTTGTAGGGTGTGGTGTAGAGAGGGTGGGAGGGGGCAGTGGGGACCCATATCTCCCAGAAGCCAAAGTCAGTGGCTGAGGTTCTTGGAGCTGATGCCCTGGAGGCTTCAGAACCCACTCAGGATGCAAGGGGCTGCCCTGGGAGGTGAGGAGCAGCAGTGGCTGAGCAGGCGGGGCCAGCAGAATGCCCACACACCTCAGGGAGTGAAGGGTGCCCCTCGGCAGTGGGGGCTGGGCTAGGCACCTTCTCTCCCATCCACGCAGCTAAAACCCCTCGCCTCTCCCCAGCTTCAGCCTCTGGGCCCCCTTTTCCTCTAAGTATTTATGGGGAGGAAGACCTGGGACTCAGCCAGGCCCAGGTGGACACCTACATGGGAAAGGAATGGCACCAGGCCCTGCTGGCATGCAGCTGGGCTGGGCCGGAAAGGCATGTGAAGCCACAGGTCCCGTCTCAGAGGACCTGCGTCTCTCTCCAAGGTGCCGGTTTTCAGGGTTCAAAGGGCTGGGGGTTGAAGCCGGGACTGACTTACCTGGGCGTAGTTCTCAGCTCGAGTGAGGAGGGGCAGCTCATAGGCCGTGGAGAAGTGGGTTCGAACCTGCTGCATCTGCCCAAAACGCTCCCTCTTCCTCCACTTGGCCCTCCGGTTCTGGAACCAGACCTGCAGGACAAAGCAGTCGTCACAGGAGCCAGAGGCCTTGTCCCGGGTGGTGCAAGAGGTCCCTGAGCCCCAGCAGGCCACGGGGGCCACAGAGGAGTGTGCTTCGGTGCTGATCCCCAAGAGCTTACAATCTAGAATGATCCATGCTGAGAGTCAGGAAGGCGGCGTGCCCCACAAGTAACCATGGGTGTGACCTGGGCCTGGAGCTTCCGTTTTGCTAAGCCTCAGAATCTGGAGCTAGCAGGGGGTGCACCCATGAAACTTGTCACTGGCCACTCAGCAGCCATCCCACCAAACCCAGCACGGTGTAGCCGAATCTGCTGTGGCCCACTGCTCGCTGTGCAGAGAGTGATAAAAGCTTCGAATGCTCCTCCAGAAAACCGTCCTGCAAGACCACCACACACACGTTTTTCCAAAAGGCCCGCGGCTCCCTGGGGCCCAGCAGCCCAGACTCCCTGCCCTCCTGAACCCTCGTGGCAGCATTCTGGTTGGAAACAGTCTCCCAGTTCGGAACCCTGTGTTAAAGGTCCCATGGATAATAGGGGCCCGATGGGCAAGGGAGGCAGTCAGGACGGCTTCCTGGAGGGGAGGATGGGAACTGGGCCTCCAGTGTTGGCTGGAGGGGGCAACGTCCAGGCCTGAGTCTAGAAACACCTGCCCAGTGCGGGGATTGGAGGGAGAGGCACAGAGGAAGCCGAAGTCGGATGGTGGAGGGCCTCGAATGCCAAGCGGACGGGTTTGCCCTCGGTGCTGTCGGTCCCGGCAGACGCTGCAAACTCGCACTCAGAAGAGCGGCCTGACGCGGAGGAGGGAGAGGGGAGGCCAACTGCCGCTAAGCATGGGTGGGTGGAATGGTAGCTTGACGGGGGCCCTAACGGGGAGGGTGGTCTCTGAGTCACGTGAGGGAGCTGGAATCTTGGGTGGGCGGGCGGGGTCCATGTCCTTTGCTGGAGCATTCATTTCCGGCAGGCTGGGAGCGTTGTCAAGGCTCATGGGCAAGAGTTCACCTCGGGGCCTGGGACCCCTGCCCTGACTTGGAATCATCGCATGGGGGAGGGGGGTGAAGAGAGATCAGCTTCCAGGCCAGGAAAGGTCTGGGCTGGGCTCCCCAGAGGGAGCACCCTGTCAGCTTGAGATGCGCCTGCCAGCTGACTCAGGTACGAGTGGCCGCATCCCACCTAGCTCACCAGAGCTCTGGGGGGCTTTGGGGAGCACAGAGCAGTGACGAGGACCTCAACTGCCGAGCTATGAGGAGTGTCATCAGGCTCTCACCAGGCCTAGGCACTGAGGAAGCCAGCTCTCCTCAGGTGCAGTCCCTGCAGTGTGGGCAGAAACACGTCCCATCCCTCCTGATCAGGGCTGCACAACTAGGCGTGAGAGGAATCGTCTCCAGAAACAGTGCCCCACGGAGAGGCCCAGTGCTGCCTGGGGGGAGGGAGCGGGGGCTGGGCCTGAGGCTGCCAGGCCCGGACAGCCTGCCAGTGCGGCCCGGGAGCGGAGCACCCATTGGAGCCCTGGCGTTGCTGATAGCCTCCGTTTCTGCACCTGGAAAATGGGCCAATACCTGTATTGACCTCCTCACAGGGGTGATGCCTCAGAGGGCAGCAGGTGAGACAGATGGGAAGTTCTGCCACGGTTTTTAGAGTGCTTCACATCTGTTTATTTACAGCTCCTGCCCTTTCTTACTGTCTTTTGCTAGAGGAAAGGGTCAAAAGAGATGGAGTCTATGTGTCTCAGGTTAGTGTGGGGAGGGTGGGGTGAGGAGGGAGTGTGGGGCTGCACCTCATTCCCCTCCCAGGCTCAAGTGCGCATGTGCACAAGTGTGTACACACACCCACACGTGTGCCAAGATTTCTTTCAGAGTTTTTCCATTTCCCCCCGCTTGACTCTGGTATAGGAGAAGCATTCTTCCTATGTCCTCCCTGGAGACTGGCCCTCTCCTGGGCTTGGGGTCTCAGCCCTGCCCCAGAGCCTGCTGGGAGCCAAGGGGGGATCAGGTCTCCTCTCTGCGCCGCTGAAATGGGATCCCCCTTTATCAGTGGCCTGGAATGGGGAGCTGGGGGCAGGAGGAGAGAATGCATCAGAGGAGCTTGTTTTCATTTCATGTTTAATTTCCTGCAGGCTTAGCTCAGTCTTTCCGCTCCTTCCTCCACCTCCCAGGGTTTTCTGTGGGGGGAGCCGGGGGGAGGGGAGAAGCCCACTGGAGGCATCAAGATATCCGGCTTCTTCCTTTCTTGGGGGCGGGGAGAAGTTCAGTTGCCGCCACCGCGGGGGTTTCCCTGAGTCTCTGTGGACTCCGGCCTGCCGGCCAGGCCCCTGTGTGGGAACGGAGAGGTGGAGAGGTGCTGGGAAGGCGCCCGGATGGGCTGCGGGGGACTCAGAGCGAGGAGGGCGGAGGCCAGTGTCCCCAAAGGAGCCTGGATGAGGGGCAGAGCAGAGAGGGGGCGATGGAATGTGGGGGTGGGGTGGGGCTGGAGCTGAGTGTGGGGGAGGAGGAGGCTGGGAGAGGGGAGACCTGGTTATCGAGGAAGATCGATGGGCAGGCAAGGGAGAGGCAGCAGAGAGAGCGTCTCTGGGAAGGGAGTGGACTGGGGTCAGGCCGGGGCCTTTATCTGCGGGTGGAGGATGCAGACTGTGCATGGTGCCCGGCTGCGGGGGGAGCAAGCTGACGGAGCAGAGCTTTCCCCCCCTGGGCCCTTGGGCTGTGCACAGGGCTGCAGCTTTTCTGCCCTAATTACGCTAAGTTGGTGTCTCTGGTCTTGGCTCTCCTCGCATGTAAATTGGGTGGTGGCCGGCGTATCCTCATGAGCACCCCCATGCTGACATTCCTGGGTCCTGAGGCTCTGAGTGTCCTGTTTCTGCCCCTTGGAGCCTGGTGCTCTGAGAGCTACCCCCCCCCCCCGCAGATGCTCTGTGTCCCAGGCCTGTTTCCACCGCACCACCCCCAGGAGAAGAGCAGGCCTTGAGTGAGGTCCCAGCCTTCTCTTCTGGGTGTCTCACCCCAAGCCCGCCCTGTTCCCAGGCCCACCCCAGCATGGGCCTCTCCCCAAGGAACCAACCGTCTTGGCAGAGGTCTTGGCAGAGGTCTTGCTAACCGCAGCCCATCTGGGGCCAGGGCGGGGTGGCCCAGGGTGGGAAGGCCTCTGTCTTATTGTCTTCAGACACCAGCTGCGGAGGCTGGAATCCCAGACAGCAGAGAGAGGCCCCTGCAGCCCCCGAGAGCAGGGCCCAGCCCAGGCTTCTTCCCAGGAAAGGCCCATCTCGAGGCCCCCATCGCCTCCGCCCTGTCCCCACCGCCACTCTCCACCAGGCACCTGGCCTCGCACCAGCTGGTCGTGGGCCCCAAACAAACAAACCCCGCAGAGGCAGGCAGAGGGCTGCCTCTCCACGCCCTCTGCCTCTGGGCACGACCAGGCTCAGGCTCAGCCCAGAGGCCTGAGCACACAGATATGCCACCCACCTTGCTGCCGTTTTACAAAGGAGTCTCGGGTCGATCTGGCACACATCCTCAAACAGCGAACTAATGTCAAAGAAGCCCTGGGGTGGAACTTGGGACACTCAGATCTTAGTCTCAGCACTGGCGCCGAGTCACATGCCCGAGTCTCCGATCCCAGGCAATCCTCTCCTGCACTGGGCTTCTTCTTCCTTGTGACCAAGTGAGAGGACCAGGTGATCCTTTCTGGCACTAATATCCTACAATTCTATGACTATCCCCTTAAATGATAGTATATGCAACACCTTAGGGTTTCCCTTTCTGCCTTGGCTGCCAGGAGGCTCCGAGGTAAAAATTTGTGCTCAGTGGCAATTATGATCCTTAGCCTAGATTCTTCACATAATTACCTTCTCATTTTATGAAATTGTTCTTCTTCTTAGACGAAAATAATAAATCTTTAATTATAAGCTGCCTCAGCTTTTTGGAGGCAGGCATCAATGTGTGTGTGCGCAGCGAGAACACTTTAGCTGGAGGGGGTGACTGCCAAATGCTAGGCATGCCCCAGTGCTACTTCCGGGTTCAGTCCTGGGAGGGCCATCCTGGGCACTCCCATCCACTCCTTAGGAACACACACATGTGCACACACGTGCACACACATGCACAGAAAATGAACCAGTGTATCCCGCACCTACAGCAATGCCCCACAACCAGCCGCCCCCTTCGCCATCTCCTCCCAAATCCATTGGCTGAGCTGAGGCCGGATTCTGGGGCTCCGGTCCAGAGTCTGAGCACAGGAGGCCACGTGGCTGGTTGTCCCGACTCAGATGAGACAGTGGGTGTGAGAGGGCCCTCAGGATCCCAGGGAAGCCTCCGCTGCCCTGCCTTCCCTCCCCGAACATTCACCGGGTGCCGGAGCGGAAAACACCAGCCAGCCTGCCGTCGGCAACGTGTGTGTGAATGGCCCCACCGTTCAGAGCCACGTGGGTGCAGGGCTGCTTCTGGATGGACACGTGCTTACTGACAGTTGCCAGTCCTTTTTCACATTAGCCGTTGTCGATGAAAAGGACTCTGGCCTAAGTTGCAAAGGCCTCTTCTTACTGAACAGGACACAGTGGAGGCTGATGAACCTGTTGTTGCTGCCTTAGAAAAGCTCTGCCCTTGGGGTCTGCTGAGGAAGGAAGGGCTGAAAGTCCCTCTGAGCTGAGCTGCACTGCTTGGAAAACAACAGTAACAATGACAAAAAAACAAGCCCCCTTTTCCTCAAGCTGTGGGTTTTCCTAGCACACTGGCTGGGGGACTGCTACCCGAAAACACCTCACTTGCTGTTTCTAACGTGCTCTGGGGGTAAAAGCAGGCTGAGATGGTGTTTATTCTGTGCTTAGCTGAAGCCTAGCTTTACTACATGGGTGATTCCATCACCTGTTTGGGGGGTTCTCGAAGGTCTTGGCTTCCTGTCTGGTTCTTTCTTTGTGTCATTTCATGCAGGGAGGTAGGGACCCCTGTTTGGACAAAAGAGGTCAACTGGCCCACAAATATTTATTTTTTGCCTTTGTTGCTCTGCTTGCGTGTACCCCTGATTCGTAGAAATACAGGGATGAACAATCAGACAATACCTGCCTTCAAGGACTCCCATTTCAGTGGGAGGAGACAGATAAAATAATTCAAGCCAGTCATAAATTCTGCAAAGAGGATAAAGGGTGGTAGCTGGTAACCAGGTTTGGTGGCGCTGTATTGTGCCGTGTTGAGTTACGTTGAGTTGAGTTGGCTGGGGTTGAGTTGCATTGGGTTGGGCTGTGTTGAGCTGTAGCGGACTGAGCTGTGTTGGAGATCATTGTGTTGTGTTAATGCGGGTTGGGTTGAGTGGTGTTGGACTGAGCTGCGCTGGGTTGAGTTGGGTTGGTCTGTATTGTGCTGAGTTGTGTTGCATTATATTGGTTTGTGTTGAGTTGGGTTGCACAGGATGGAGCTGTGCTGGATTTGTGGGTTGGGTTGCATTGGGTAATTGGGTGGTGGTAGAGGGGGTGCTGCATTCGCCATGGAGGTTAGGAATACTTCTTGAAGACAGTTACCAAGTTGAGACCTGAAGGACAGAACAGCAGATGGCCATCCTGGGCAGAAGGAAGAGCTGGCTGTTCCCTGTCTCTGCCTACTGGGCTGCTGTGGCCATCTGTAAATTCCTCCTGTTTCCTTTCTAAGAGCCAGGCCTTCTGGAGGAGAGACCGGTCATTTTCTCCTTCATAAGACACCACATAGAGCCCAGAAATGCAGCTAACGGGCTTCCTGCCCCTCCATAGGGCCCGGCCTCTTTCACTCCTGCTCCGCCCGGAGCAAGAAGCCCAATACTAAGGTGGATAAGAGCAGACTTGGAGTGGGGGCCTGCGGGGCAGGCTGGCAGCCTCTGGGCCTCTCCTTGGACTGTGGGTGAAGAGAGTGGCTGAGGAACACGCAGGCAGTCTCAGCTCCGGCCACCAGCCCAAAGCCGGGCCGCGCTCTTCCCCCCTGCACCCCGGACACCCTCACTGACCTGCACACGGGCCTCGGTGAGGTCTGTCCTCATGGCCAGCTGCTCCCGCGCGTACACGTCAGGGTAGTGGGTCTTCTGGAAGACCTTCTCCAGCTCCTCCAGCTGGTAGCTGGTGAAGGTGGTTCGGTTCCGCCGCTTCTTGCCCTTGTTGCTCTCCGAGTCGGCCTTCTCCAGCGGGCTGGGGAGGTCAGTGCTGGCCCGGTCCTGGGGCCCCTTCACCCCAGCCTCCTTCACACCGAGGTAGCTGCTGTCCATCCCCACGGTGTCAGAGTCGGGCGGCAGCTCGGGCTCACTCAGGGAGCTCTCTTTGGCTGAGGGGAGGGAGGAAAGAAGGTTAGAAACCAATGGCTGAACCAAGCAAAAGAGGAGGGAGGGATGGGGGGGCCACCCCCTGCCTTGTCCCTGTCCAGGGAGCATTGGATGTGAGGTCAGGAGGCCTGGGTTCTGGTCTTGGCTTGCAATTACCCTGCCGTGTGACCCTGGGCCAGTCCCGTTCCTCCTCTGAGCCTCTTTCCCATCATCTCAGAAGAGGCTCCTTCCAGCATCAATATTATGTGACTTCGGATCAGTCAACATGACCTCTGTGACCTTTCATTCCCACCCTACTGACCCCAGTCTCCTCCTTTTAGAAGGGTCCCGGTTGCCAGAGCGTCTCCTTGGGGCAGCGAGGATGCTGACTCAGTGCCTCAGACTCCCCGGGGGTTGGGGAGTGGCTGACTCACTCAGCAGTCACTTCTGGCCCAGTGGGCTTGGGGTGAGGCGGAGAGGCAGACAGGAGTGCCCCTCCTTTCCTGGCCTGGTCCTTTCGGGGGTTCAGCAGGAGTTGTGGAGGTTCTTCTCCAAACATCCTGTCCCTTTGCCCTCCACACTGGCCTCACCTACTGGCCGAGCAGTGTCCTGCCCCCTCCACATGGGCTCTGGTGGGTTCACACAAAGCTCCAGGCCCAGCCCCGGGCCTGACAGAATGGGGCCCCCGCCGCCCACCGGTTCTTAGAAGCTCAGAGCTGGAACGGACCAGTCCACCTGCGCAGGGCAAGGACGAGGAAGCAGAGGCCGAGGTAGAAGGGTGGGGCAGGGAGAAGCTTGTCCGTATCCCAATAGTCCAGTTAACGCCCGGGGCAGATACGACGGCCTCAGAGGTTGTCCAGCTGTGTGCTTTAGACAGGTCACGTAACCTCTCTGTGCCTCGTTTCCTCCTCCGTGAAATGGGGATGAAGATGCCTGGGGGGCAGGCGCCCTCACAGGGCGGCTGCAGGGTTACAGAGGCCAACACGCGAAGTGCCTGGCACAGTGGCAGCTGCGGTCAGTTTCCGCCGGTGTCCGGTCTGGACTTGCAAGGAGCAGGACGGACCGTGGAGCAGGCCCCCTGGAGCGCCCGGGCGCAGGAGCGCGGGCCGCACTGGGGGAAGCGTGCCGCAGGCCTGGCGTTTGGTGACGGGCGTGAGCCCCTCCGAGCCACATTCCTTTGTCTGTGACTCTCGCGGAGTAAGATGACGTGCAAGATTAATGAGACACATGTGAGGAGTATTCGACAAGACCGACCCTTCACACGCACAGACTCTGCTTATCACAAGCGTGAAGGTCACTCTGACCCTCAGTTTCCTCTTCTGGGAGCAGGTCCAAGCGGCGGACACGAGGTGTCAGGGCGATGGCTCTAGCCCAGGTGTCCTGGCTCCGCCCACGTTCTGGGGGCAGAGGCTGCGGCTTCACCCTCAGCCTAGGCTCCCTGGGGGCCCTCTTCACACCGGGGAGGCTGAGTGGGCCATTTTGCCTCTGTCATTCTCCCCTCCCTCTACAAAGCACAGAAGAAAAGCCAGTGGCAGGACATGAGCCTGGAAGCAACTTCAGGAGGACATCTCTGAGCGTCACCACCCGTGCTGCCGCCACCCACCGGGGTGGCGGGCCGGCCTTCGGGGACCCCGTGGGACACCCGTGTGAGCCCAGGCACACACGGGCTGCCAGGCCTCCAGTGACAGCACCGCGCAAACTGCAGCCGGCTGCTGGGCCAAGAGCTTTCAGAGAAGATGTTTATCTTCCTGGCAAACAAATACGTTTTATGTTTTGGGTTTTTTTTTTTTAGAGAAGAAATCCCATTCAGCCTCACCAAAAATAAACATTTCTGTTATGCAACTTCCCGGAGGCCAGTCTGGGAGGACACTGCCCCTGGCCCTCCTGCCCCAGCCCTGTTCCCCGGGCCCCATCCCATGACCTCCAGGACCCTCGCAGCATCCTCTGGCGTCCAGCCTGGGGTCAGACCCCCCTGCATGGCCATGGGGGCTGGGCTGAGCGGAGGGAGCTCCAGGTTATAGAAACCAAAGATTGGTAGGGACCAGCCCAAAGTCCTGGTTTTAACTGGGGGGAAACTGAGGCCAGAGAGTGCAGGATGTGAGCTAATTGGCAAGAGAGGGCGGCCTCACAGCTCCTGGGTCCTCTCCCCAAGGAGAGCAGTGGGGGCAGAGGAATGCAGGGACCTCACATAATCAAGGAGTCTTGTTCTGTTTGTCCTCGGGGCAGAAGGACCAGCTCCTGCTGATGAGGATGAGCTGGTGCTGGACTCAGCCCGTGGGGAGGCGGCAGAATATCCGGTCTCCCATGGAGAGAAGTAGGAACTCAGTTTCCCCACGTCCAGCCACCCATTGAGACCGGGCGGGTGGGGGAGAGAGGAGGGGACAGCACAGTATGGGCACAAAGACCACCAGACCAAGAGCTGGCAGCTCTGCCCTCGGCCCCAGCTGCAGCCCAGTCTGCCTGTGACTTCGGATGCCTCATTTCACGTCAGAGGCTCGTCTGCAAATAGGAGCAGGCATGTCCCCTCTGCAGTGGGGTGTCACACATGCAGTGGGGTGTCACACCTCAAGTGGGCGGAGTACCCCTCCCACAGGACCAGGGCGCCTTCCCCTCAGAATTCGGATGGGAGGAGAGGGGACATGGGGGCATGTCTGTCTGCGTCCAGACAAACGTCAGTGAACCCAAAAGGCTGCAGGTTGGGGGGATCCTGGCACACCGATGCTGCTGGTCCTCCAAGGGGAAAAAGAGCCTCCTGATCCCAGTCTTGATTGCTGGTCACCTCGCTTTAAACCCTCGGGCTGGATGGATCCCTAGTTCAGACAGCAGAGGAAAGTTCCCCAAGGTTCTGGGACCACCCAGCTGGTCAGAATGACAAGCCAGACCTCAGGTCCTCGGTGCAAAGATACCAGACTCAGGGGATTCTATTTCAACCTCCTTCCACCTCCACCCCCTGCCTCTCCACCAAGTGCCATCATCCTGGCTTTGGGGACAGAGAGCTCCCTGCCCCCAGGACAGCTCAACCATTTGTCCTTAGGTCCAGCCCTTGTCCATCTCCTGTAGATCTGGCTCATCGGTCTTGGCTCTAAACCCCCCACGCCCTTCCCCGAGACAGCCCTGTGGACATTTAGAGCTGGCTGTCACACCTCTGAGTCTTCCAGCTCCTGACCCAACAGTGTTGGTTCCCACGGCTGTTCCTCAGGTGGCCCTGTGTTTATGGAGCCTGCTTGAGACAGGAGGATGCCGGGACAGCGCTAGGTCTGGGCAGAGCCAGCACTTGGTTCTATGACTGGACGCTTCTGAGCGGCCGGGTGAGGGTCAGCAGCCCGAGACCCGGTGCCGCCGGGGTCCAGCTCGCTCTCCGGTGTGCTTCTCAGCAAGATGGCCGCTGTAAACAGAGGTTCTGCGACTCTGGCTTGGAGCACAGGTCGCTGCTGAGCAAGGGAAAGCCCCACCTCCCACCACCTGCCCGGGCTGCCCCTTCTTTCCAGCTGACCTCCAAGATCCAGCCAAGCACCAGCTCCTCCAGGAAGCCTTCCCAGACTGTGGCAGCCATACAGGTCTCTTTGTCCGCTGTTCGGCCTCTCTCATTACTGCCTGTGTTTCTGACTACTGTGTAATCCAGCCCTGAAGTGTCCGGCTCCTTCTGCAGAATGTCAGTGTCCCAAGGGTTGGGACCGCATGCTGTTAGTCCCTTCTCCACCCGGGGCATAGCCCAGGACGGGGTAGGGGCAAACGTGTAGCAAGAAGTTGCCGAAGAGTCAAGGGACAACTTCTAACAGATGTTACTAAGCTCTCACTCTGTCCAGCTGCCTTTGTGCACCTACTGTATGCCCGTGCCCCAAAGCAGACATGCAGAAAGTGTCGACTGAATGAATGAACCGATTCGCCCCGGTAGACGACGAGAACGGTGGGTAGGATACAAGGAAAAAGAGGCCCTCGATGACTGGTGCCTCCTCCAGAGGCTGGCAGCGCAGCGGGAGCAGGAGGAGGAGATGGGAGCGCCCCCCAAGGGGTGGGGGGAGGGGAGAAGAAAACAGACAATGAGGGGTGTCTCCACGCAGGGAGCCCGAGGGTTGCAGGGAGGGCCCGGGCACAGGAGAAGCACAGACGTGCTTCAAGGAGGGGGCTTGGGAACGCCAGTGTCCGGGATCTGCCAGGGACCAGCTCCGCACCCACCGTGCCGCCACCCTGGGGTGGAGAAAAGGCCACTGGGAGACCCTCAGCTGGCCAAGGCCAGCCTTCTTCAAGACACTGGCACCCAGCACTGGCAAGACGCTGAGGAGCAACTAACCCTACCTGGGCCCAGGCCGCCTGCGGCGGGTCCGGCCCCTCCGAGCCCTCCCTGGGGCAGGTCCCACAAGGACTCTGGACTGGCACTGTGCCGACACCCTTCCCGTGGGGGGCTCGTCCCCAGCCGTGCGGCCCAAGACAAAATAATCCTGGCCTGCGTCTTCCCAGTGGAGTGTCTTGATGTGGAAACAAAACTCAGAGTACCCAGAGGAAGAGAAATCCAATAATGTGCATAAAACATCATGAATGGGCACTGCCTGCCCCACAGAAGGGGCACCGGCCCCGGTGGCCCCGGTGGCACCAGGTGCCCTTCACACGGTCCAAGGCCAAAGTCATTCCCATCGATGGTGTCTGAGGAAGCGGGAAGCACTCCGTTCAGGGTTCTTTTCTTTACCAGCAGCCACAGAAGGCCCTGGGGCCTCAGCCCAGACTCCGTCAGGGAGGAGGCCCTCACCGCCTCTGGGAGCCCCGGCCGTCCTGGCTGCTGGTTTCCAGAAGGAGAAACCCCTCTTTGTCCCCCTTACCTCCAGCTGTTCATCCTGGTTCAACCCAGTGGCGTCACTCTAATCCAGTCCAACTTTTTCTTTTTAAGATTTTATTTATTTACTTTTAGAGAGAAGGGAAGGGAGGGAGAAAGGGAGAGAAACATCAGCGTGCGAGAGATCGTGCACCCCTAACTGGGGACCTGGCCCGCACCCTGGGCCTGTGCCCGGACTGGGAATCAAACCAGCTT